GGTTCTATGTGTGTTAGGAGGGGGTTAGGTTCTATGTGTGTTAGGAGGGGGTTAGGTTCTATGTGTATTAGGCTTTGATGGTCCTGAATATGAAGGGAGCATTCCAGTTTCATGGAAAAAAATGGCTATGCTTCCTTTCTCTTTCTCTCTCTCTTGTTCTGTTTATATACAAAGTTAAGTACAGTAAGGGCCGAGAAAGTGATTTAAACCACTGTTCCTTTGACAATGAGCTCAACACACTGCTTTCTGGCTGGGAGAAAACCCCTCAATGTCTCCATGGTCAGAGTCTTTCTCGTCAATGGTGGCGTTACCCAGGATCTTCCCCGCATGTCATCCAGCTGTCCATGCTGTGTTTCCCTGTTCTTTGTCTAGTTGGAGGTTGCTAATTTAATTGCCCCGAGACAGAGCGTGGCAACCTCCAGTCCAGGGTTTCCCAGATCCTGACTGTGTACTCTGTATGCAGAAACCTAAGGCGTGCCATCTTAATAGAGCCGTAAATTACTCTGACAGGGAGCTACAGTGAGATCAATCCCCACCCTCCTGTGGAAAGAGACTTGCTGCTAGTTTAGAATTTATAACTACATACTTCAAGTGTCTCCGAAATGACATGCTTTAAACAGCAAAAGGGGATTGCACTGTGTGCCCATGTTGGGGGAAGAACATACTTTTAAAGAACGTACTCTACAATTGGACAGATTTAACAGATAACAAAGAAATATTATTGACCTTAAAATATTTCAGAATATAAGATATAATTTCTAACTAAGGTTTGTCTTGTTACTGGTAAAACATTCCTAAGATTGCCTGTAGTATATGCCAAGTTAAAAGAATACAAGCATCGCATCTTCTACAATCAGATGGCAGGGCCCTCTCACTCAGACACATGAGAGAATGTAAGTGTTCCAGCAGAAAGAGTCGTCAGTCACACGAGTCACTGCTGCTGAAAGCATGTGCAGAATGGGGAAACAGGAGGACTCAGGTCCCTGAAATACTCGGTCCACAGGAGCACACGAGTCTGAGGAGAGCTGGATGGCTTATTTTGTTTATTTTTCTTAGGCAGAAAATATTTAACCACTTCACTTTGTTCTGCTAGATGAAGATGAGAATTCTTTTAGCAAGCTCAGTAAATAATTTGTAACTGTTCACTTTAAAATGAGGAAATGAGTAGGAAAGCCCTCAGATTGTAGAAATGTACTGATGATGTTAGGGGGAAAACATTAGCTTTCTTGTTTCATGCCTTTATTATTCCCTTTCCCCACATACTTTCCATAAGCTTCTAACAGCTTAGATGATAAAAAAAAAATCATTAGGCAAACTCATTTTTTCTGTCCTCGTGACAAGTGAGGGAACATGCCCACAGCACATTCCCAACGGTGTTTCTCTAAGAATTACTTAGCACATAGGATTCCTCTAGAATTACAAATCCATTTCAGCTCTTAAATTAAAATTCATCTGGAAAGGACTGCTTTTCCCTGTTTATATAACATTGTCACATAAAGAGTGTTAAAAAAATATTTCTCTAAAAATAGCCTGCGTAAGTTAGGGATCAGCAGAGCTCTGCTGCTGGAGCTGGTCCTTTGTAGTTTTTCCACCATGTTCTTGCACAGTGTTTTTGAGTGTGTTTATTAAAGTCAGCACATCAAAAAGGATCAAAGAGAAAGTGAGGGAGAACCGAAGAAACCCCAAGCGTGCTGTCTCATTGGGGAGCTATGCAGATTCGGATAAACAAGTGCAAACTGCTGAGGTTTTAATGAAGAAATTTTTGACGATGGTTTTATCTTGAGCTCTTCCATAGGACACCATGTGGGAAGCAGATGCTGTGCCGTGTGCGGCACCACCCGCGCTCTGTTTCATAGCTCGTCTGAGATGACTGCTTTGTCAGTTTGAGAAGTGCAGCCGCTGCAGACGCTCACAACAGTTACACAAACTGTAAAATCCAAGACTCAGCGAAGCATTTCTGCATTACAGTCAACCTATACAATCCGACATTCATTCCAGCGAGCTCAAAGATATACCGTAAAAACCGGGCTGCATAGAGAACACCGCCACTTGAAAACTACAAACAGAAATATGACTACTAGTAGGGTGTGTGTGTGTGTGTGTGTGTGTGTGTGTGTGTGTGTGACGTTTTCATTTTTATCACTTACCAAAACTATCCCTAATTGCCAGGCATGGTGCCCATCTTTAACTACCTGGTTTCAAGGTGAGTTTGGGGGCAGCCTGGGCTCCAGAAAGAGCCGATCCCCACTGCTAACAAACACCACCACCAAGGGCTGTGCAGTGACCTCTCTCACAGTGTCCACAGACAGCAGCCTTCAGCAGCCACTGACACCTGCTCCTCTCTTATCTAACTCACACACAATGGATTTGCTGACTAAATTCTGTTGTGCTTTCACCATAGTAAATTCTTTCAACCGAATGATTGACTTCAATTTTGATTTAATGTGACACAAAAAACTATTTTAAAATGTTTGCTGAACGCTGCCCAGCAGAACAATACCAAGTAAGTTTTAGTCAAAACGGAAGTTTCTATTTTCCTGTTTAACAAGATAAAAGGAACATTAATTATAAGAGGGTTATATAGTTTTTCTGATATAAAGGGGAAATTACAAAAAAACCAGACCATTTGTATAGCTAAATGAAAGGTTTTCGATTGTATTGTAGAGAAAACAATTATGAAGCATAAACACCTTTAAAAGTGAATAAAACATAAGCAGCAAATGAACTCAGAGGAGGAGAAAAAGCAGGCCCTGCTCTACAGATGGTGCAATCCAACATGTTTAAAATTGCTCCTCTGTTTGGTCTTAATCTTTCCCGCCATCATTAAGGGACAGCGATTAGGAAGGTGGGAGATGAACACAGTGGACTGACACTGTAGTGTCCAGGGTTGGAATCTCTCACACCCCAAACCCTGCATTTTCATTTCTAACTTCAAAGACAACAAAGAAAAACAGAGCTTTTAGCTGGGTTGGTTACAAATACTTCATTGAGGAAGAAAGATGTCATCCATGTTTTGGCTTAAATTTATTACTACTCAACTATAAAAGTTAAAACAAAAAAACCCTCTTAATCTGCTGTGCTCAAACTGGCTCTCTAAACTCCGTCACGATCAGTCTCCAGCTGCCACTCGGTTCCCTTCGGTATGCAGCTAGGATGCACACAGCTTACGGCCTGACAGAGCCGACACATTAGCAGTCCACAGCCCTCCTCCGCACAGGCATGGGGAAGGACATGGCTCTCACAGGATTGTGGAAGCTATATGGTTCCCTCCTGAGATGTCTGGCACCTGGCTCTCAGCTTTCACAGTAGCAGTGTCTGTGATTGCAATGGTTACTTCCTGCCTGTGCTGACTTTCCTCTTCACATACCTTGTGGCCGCCCTTTCTGCTTCAGTGTGGAAAAGCACCTAACAACTTAGTCACAGCAGCAGAGGAGAAAATGGAGACGTCATGGCCGGGGAGCTTCCTGTCCGCTCCAGTTTTCAGCTGGCCTCTGGTGGGCTGAACACAGAGGCTCAGCCTTCCCCTGGCCAGGTGTTGCTGCTTGACAAAAATGCCTCAGCGGCATTCTCGCTGACTCGAGCTTTGGCTTGACACTGCAATTGCTACCATGGCAACTTCTCTTTCTACAATAAACTGTTCCCAGTGACGCAGTGAACTGCATTAGAATCCCCTGCAAGGCGTACAAGAGACAGACCATTGGGCCCTGCGCCCCGAGTCTGATTCAGTAGTCTGGGGTGGGGTCTAGCACGGACATTGCCAGCATGGTCTCAGGGTCTCAGGTGATCCGTGCTGTTCCACAGACGGCACTGGGAAAACCACTGTGCCACTGCTTCAAAATGCCCGACGTGCCGTTGTTCCACCTCGGCCATTTCAGCTAAAGAAAGCCAGGAACCAACAGTTCCGAAGACAGTTACAAGAATGTGCCTCAAGAGGTGGATAGGGCATTTCAGGGCTTGGAAATACCCCAGGCTCACAGGATTTGTTAAAACAAACAAACAGCCTAAACAAAATGACAACAGCCCCAATCCAAACTGAACCAAACCAAACCAAACCGAACCGAACTGGACCAGCATCTCTGCAATAAGCTCACAGCAGGAAATGTTCCCAATCTCGAGTGAGTCTAAAACTTATTTCTACACAACACCAATCTTTGAAACGTTACATTTTCATACCTTACATAGGATGCGTTTTCTCTCCTCTGCTCCTCCTCCCTCCGCCCGCCCTCCTCCCTCTGTCACTCACCAGGTGCTCGTTGTGCTGCTTTGACACTAAGGCTTCCATTGAGGTTCGACAGTGATGCCAACACACATGGTGTATGAGGATGTGGGACGGTTTCCATGGAGACCACAATCTGGGTAGTATGGACAGAAACTTTCTGAAAGCAGGAAATGGCTCTCCACAAGTTTTCCTGAAAAGAAGTCTTCTGTGCTCCATCACAGTGAACTTTGGGCGTAGACAGCTTTCCGCGGTAACATTTGGAGGTGGGAGGCTCATCCTTATTCAGTACAGGGTCCGGTGGGGCTGAGGTCTCTTTGCTATGTGCAAAGCTGTGTGCCTTTTTAATCTTCTTTAAAAAATGATGTATCTGATCCAGCTTGGTGAAACTCAAGTTTGCTTTCAAAGGCTTTGATGCATCCAAGTTGATGTCAGCTACAAAAACAACAACAACCTTCAGAAACCTCCTGGAGTGCTAACACTCATCGACGACGTGCCAGAGCACTGCATCGTCTTACCTGTCACCTCCTCTCGTGCAGTCGACCAAAGGAGCATCATTATCGAGCTGCTTAGTGGCCTAAACTGCTGGCCCCTCGTGCAAGGTCCAGCCCAGGAAGGCCCTTCCATCCTCAGGTGCTATGGCACACTGAAGTAGGCTTCCCAGTTTGGTACCTATCTGAAACTGGCATTTGATCTCCCAAGGAAACAGAACTCCTCACAGGACCAGAACAGTGTAGGACAAAATGTCAATCCTAAACATCACGGATCTCCAGACCTTACCTTCCTCCTTTACGAACTGTTATGACCTGAAGAGATTCTGGGACTTGCTGTACATTCTGCACTGATAAACACTGATGTGCATCACTCCAATAAATGTTAAGTAGACAGAAATTTCTTAAAATCTATAGTCCAATTTACATGTATCACATGTCAGATGTCTTCCAACTGGCCTTATTACTTCTGTTTCCCTCTTCTTTTCCCTTGCACGACCTAGTAAGGAGTTGGTCCAAATGTCCTTGAGAGCACACCTGTGCATATCATCGTCCTCAGGTGTGCAATCTTACCAGTCCAGGAATTAGTTTCCAGACACCTTATTGACACATTCACATTCTAAGTTCGGAACATTACTATCACCACAGACAGACAGACAGACAGACAGACAGACAAACTGACTACTTAGCAATCACTTATTACTTTTCTTCCACTCCTAGCCTCAAACTACCACCAAGCTCTGTCTTTGCATACCTGCTGACTGGGGACACTGCACAGAAATAGAACCATAGAATACTGGATGCTTTCTGCCTTGCTTCCTTTATATATCAACATGCTTGTGAGGTACACATCCATGTTAATTTTGATTGGCCTTCATTTGATTTCCCTAGTGACTAATTTGTTGAATGCTTTCTCGTATACTTCTTGTCCATTTTGTATAAATGCTTGAAAAATATGTATTTAACTCTGCTCATTGTGTGTGGTGGAGAGAGGGAGAGAGGGAGGGAGGAGAGGGGAGGGGAAGAGGGGGGAGGGAGAGGGGAGAGAGAGAGAGAGAGAGAGAGAGAGAGAGAGAGAGAGAGAGAGAGAGAGAGAGAGAGAGAGAAGTGAACAGGTGAGTGCAGAAGGGCAGGCACCAGTGTAGAGCTCAGAGAACAAGTCCAGGGATCCGCCCTCCTCTTCCAATTGTTTTGAGCAGTCTCATTCCTGCTGCAGATGTCAAGCTTGTGGCCCACAAGCTAGTAGAGATTCTCCTGTGCTGGCTGCCATCTTCTAGTGCTGGAGGAGCACCAGGATTATAGATGCGTTAGACTTCACATGGCTTTATGAGCTTTGGGGACCTGAATGCTGATCCTCATATTTGTGCAATAAGTGGTTTCCCCTTTGGACAATCTCCCCAGCCCCAAAATCTGCTAATTTTTAACAGTAATGCTTTTTTTTTCACTTGAAGGGTTTTTAAAGTCCTTATTCTAAGATATATGGTTTGTAAATATTTTATTCCATGAAGTTGGACTGTCTTTTCACTTTATTTTGGCTGCTTTTAGCACAGTACTTTCAGCTTTTCAACACTGAGTATTTAAATTTTGTGAGGCCCAATATGTCCATTATTTTGTTTATACTGTTTAACCTAAGACCACAGAGGTTTGTACTATGATTCTTCTAAGAGGCTTATAGTTCTCTCTCTTACATTAGGTCTACCATCTTTGGTGAATCAACCTTTGTGTCTTATACAGCACTCTGGATGTGGATACTGTGTCAATCAGTATATGTCAACCATATGCGGCTAAAAGGTATAATTTGGGGTTCTACAGAAAACAATAGAGCAGTAGGATAAATATTGTGGGGGAAAACAGATAGTTCAAATGGTTCACACATTTACCTGCTCTGTCTACACAGCCCTTTATATGTGCCTCCAGATTCTGTGGCCTCATAGTAAGTAACACTGACTTTATCACAATGAGAATCGGAAAACAATTTTAGCAGATGATTATAATAGTGAGACAAAATAAAACTAAAGTTGATAAGTTGTATGCCCCTCACCTTCCTGGTTTTATACCAAGAAACTTGAACTTAAAAGTACTCATTCTGTACCCATAGCAACAACTTAGTCACTTATTCAGGAGGTTGCCCAGACAGGCCCACTAAGTCAACTGGTAGACCTAGGGGATCCATTTTTCTCTGACTGCAGATTGGTATAACATCCATGGAGGGTAGACATAGAGTAGCCAACTATTACCTTGAGATGAATCTCCATCTCTCAGCTATCACTGTGTTCCCAGGAACACAGATGAAAATTATTTATAACCCTGGGTACTTGCCTAACTTGTCTTTTGAGACTCAGCTCTTATTTCTAGGCCACCTTTTATAACCTCTGTTACTAAGTGCATTTCCAGTGCATTTTGCTAGACACTACTGTACACTTGCCCAGTGAATTGTGATTGATGGGGAAGCAGCTGTCGTACATCTTAGTGTACTGAGCACCTAGACTATTGTTTGTATTGAATGAAAAAGGTGTAAGAGGAAAATGAACGGATCATGTAATTGAACTGACCAAGGCCCATCAATCAGCTCCTCCAGAACAGTTCATTAGCTCCTCTCTGCTGTTCTGTCACCTGTGCTAGTGAACGGCTCTACAATCAGTCAACCACAGGGTTCAGAGCAGGACTCTGACTTTCTGGTTCCTCATTCTACTTTCTTTGCTCACTCCCAATCAAACTACCAAATAAGTTGTGCCAATTTGACTTCTAAAACATTGCTTGACTCCAATCCCCCCGCTCTCCAGCACGTCTACCACTCCTCATTTTCCTCCCCATCTATTATAAAGTCTACTAACTGATTTTTCTGCCTAGGCATTTCCTTCAATCCAGTGCCACAGAACAATTTCCAAAGTATTTGTTTTGGGTGTGATCCTGCTAGGTGCACCTGTAGGAAGCACAGGAGGACCCGAGAGAGTGGAGTCCTCAGTGAATGTGCATTGTTGACATGGGCACAGTCAAGTTGAGGACTCCAAAGCCTTAGACCCTTACAAAGTAGTTTCCTTGTAAGGGCCAGGCTGAAGAGGGGTGGTGGCAAGGCTCTTCTCAGTTCCAGTGAGTGTTTATGAACAATTGATCAGCATGTGCAAACACTAGCAACTGCAGCTTTCTCCTCCCACATGTTTACATCTGGAGCTGCTTGCTACAGAGACTTTCTACAGAGGCTCGCTGAGCAGTCCCTCTGCACTGCACCCAGTAATCAGGCTGTGGTTCCAGGCTGTGGTGATGGCAGAGCCCCAGATAATCCTAGCTTTACTGCATGTGTCTGTATTTTCTTTTTTTTTTTTTTTTTTTTTTTTTTTAAAGATTTATTTATTTATTATACATACAGTATGTATGACTGCAGGCCAGAAGAGGGCACCAGATCTCATTACAGATGGTTGTGAGCCATCATGTGGTTGCTGGGAATTGAACTCAGGACCTCAGGAAGAACAGTCCGTGCTCTTAACCTCTGAGCCATCTCTCCAGCCCCCGTGTCTGTATTTTCTTAATTCCCTTTCCTCCCCTAGCCAGGGTGCTAGGACCCAAGCTATACAGGTAATGACATTTACCTCTGCTTATAACTCTTTACTGACTCCTATTCATCTATGACATAAAAATTCAACCTATTATGATAGAAGAAAAACAATCTTGCCTTTAAGCTGTAGATCCTGCTTGTCTCATCTTTAAAGGCTCAGTATATAGAACCTACTTCTCCTGATCCTTACCATGCACCAGGCATTTGTTCATGTGTATAATGTATCTCTGCTGTGTCTCTATAATCTCCAATGTTCAAATACTGCTCAGCATTTTCTTTAAGTTCATTCACAAGGTGAAGCATGTGTTCCTCCTTGGGGTTCTATGTATGCATAATGTTTTTCTCTGAGCTATATGTCCTGCTAGTTAAGAAGACCCTAACTAGACATCCTTCGTCCTCAGTACACTGCACCAGGCCTCAAACATCACAAAACCCATGTTTGGTCTTTTGGTACTCGAACGTTTCAGAACATACTAATCTGGTTCTGTGGCAGACAAAATTCTAATAATGAACTTCCCTCCAAAGATTCCCATGCTCTGGCTACTAAATTAGATACTGAATATAGGTACTGGTCTACTATAAAGAGAGTCTGAGGCTTGCTCCAGGTCCCCAGTTAGATAAGGAGATTATCTAGAGGGGCTGATGTAATCATGTGCCTTGGAAAGGGCACATGAAAGATAAGAGGGAAAGTTAGGGACGTGAAGCCTGAAAAAGGTGAGAAGAACCATGTGACCCTACAGTTGGACAACAGCTAACCAGGACGTGGGGACCTCCCTCCTACAAACACAAGGAGCAGCTGGAATGAGTTTAGAAGCAGGTTTTCTTTAGGAAGTCTCCATAGGACTGCTGATCCCAAATGACGCACACATTTAGCAGAGAACTAGCTGAACCCACCTAGAAACAACTACAGTCCATGAGAGACTAAACTCACATTTGTTGTGATTTGTTATATATCAATAAAAATATACATTCCATATGGCTGCGTACCTACACATAACATATCCAGGTCCTAATGTGAATATACATGAAGTTTCTAGGTCTATGCAAATTGGCTTGACCTTGTTCCACCCATTCTCCCATAGCAAAGTAATGGAACAAGTCTAAGTATACAGTGCATGCTTCCCTCTGTCATGAGTTTACTCCTTCAATACTGTTTCAGGATCCCAGGGAAGATGGAACCCTGTCTCTCCCGACAGAAAGACCACAACTGTAAAATCTCCAGAGATAGCTATTTGGAAGATTCTGAAGAGCAAATGGTAAATGAAAGAAAAGAAATACAGAATTCAAAACATTATCCAAGTGGGGCTCAGTGCCCCCTTGTACTCCCCTTCACCATCGGCTTGGAACAGCAGCAGCCTCAAACCAGACACGACTGCCATGTGCAGCAGAGGTGCGGAAGGAGACTTCTGGTCCAGGCTCCAGAGGGCGAGGGCACTCCTTTCCTCTCTTCTTTTCTGTGCTCCAGAAGCAGACAGAGAAAGGCCACTTTTGAAGTAACTTTATGGAACTGCTATTCCTGACATAAGAAACTCACATCAACATCTCTCAGCAAGAGAGACACAAAAGTCCACAATTAAGGGCCAGTGGGATGGTTCAGGGGCAAGTTAGCCTCTGACTTCCACATGTATGTGTGCGTGCATGTGCATGTACACACATACACAATATTTAATAAAACATTTTAAAAATTCTACAACCAAGCACAGTTTATTCAGGAACTTGGATTAACTAAATTAAAAGCCTGGAGAGAAAAAAGATCAATTGATGAAGAAAAAATATTGGAAAGTCCGATATTTATTCAATTTAAGAACTCCTAAGCAAGATATCAACAGAGAGCAATATTTTACTCTGATACATGTCATATACAATATGTCTAGAGCTAGCATCATAATTATGAGAGTTGAAATGCTTTCTCCATGAGATCGGGAACTAACTAAGGACGTTATGTCCATCTCATTACTCATCGCATCATACTGGAAATCATAGCCAAAATAAGGGGAGAAAACTGTAAAGGAAAAAAGAAAGACAATGCTTATTTGTGGATGGCATTATTGTTACATGTTGAAATCCATTATAAAAAGCTGGGCATGACTAAGTGTACCCATAACCTCACCCCTGAAAGGTGAATATAGGCAGATCCCTAGGGCTCTCTGGTGACCAGCTTAGCTAAAAATGATCCCTAGCACCCATGTAAAAAAGTTGGTGTGGTGGGTAGGTGGAAGCAGGAGGGTCCTTGGGGCTTGCTGGCTATCCAGTATAGCTGAATTGGCAAGGTCCTGGTTCTGTGAGAGACATTGTCTTTAAAAAAAGTAATAATAATGTGGAGAGTGACCAAAGAAGAGACCTCTGGCTTCCGCATGAACCTGCATCCAAAGCAGCACACATGCAAGCACATATACAAACATACACACATGTGCAAAGATACAATAGACTTGGAACAGGGTGTGTGTGTGTGTGTGTGTGTGTGTGTGTGTGTGTGTGTGTGTGTGTTTCAATGATCATAACACAGAATCTAGAAAGAGTATAAACAAATATTGCCCAATGATTTCTGAAAATGTCACAAAAGCAATTAAATGGAATAAAGACAGTAGTGTTATCAAGTTTGTTAGCTATGTGTAATAGATTTAGGAATGAGGTATAATATAGAATTTTTGAGAAATGTAGATGAGTCTTCAAGTTTTAGAGATAAGATACAATTCTTGTAGATGGCACACAAAAACATGACTCAGTTTTAAAACTTATAAACTAAATTAAAATGTTTATATACAGTAAGAAATGATAATGTAAGAGAATGGCTGTATAATATGTAGTAGTAAGAGGAGTATGTGGCTCTGTTTAAGAGGGTTATGCAGTTATGCCTTATTAAAACAGCTCAATAACTACTGAGTATCTGATGGGTAACAGGATAGATTTACCTCCTCCATTTCAATATTTGAGATATATATATCTCACAAAGGCTGATAAAATGGGCTTACACAAGCTTGTGGGTCAAGCAGATCCACATCAGGGCCAAGCGTTAGCTCACTTCTCACTAAGCAACACTTCTCCAAGGCAATGAGTCTCAGTGTGCTTTTAAAGTTAAGTTTCTACTTCTCCCAGAGTCTGCACAAGACAGTTCAACATTTACTCTGAACCATAAATGATGAGGTCATGGTGGCCCCTTTTCAGAATCTGAAAATGATGCAATATCATTTCTAAATGTTAGGAAAATTATAGGGCTACTATTAAATTTATTAACATCAAAAGATGTAGCAGATGAAAATTAGTTAAACCTAAGTCAATTTAGTCAGTAAAACTAAAAAACGCAGGCCAGTTTGGTGGAGTCTCAGTTTATCATGGGAATAGTCTTTTACACATTGTGATCATACTATCAAATCAATGCTAAACACAGGCTTCTATTCATCAGCAGAGTTCAAATCCTTATTAATTCGGAAAGAGAAATGTACACTAAAAATCCAGTCATTTTTGGAAGTATTCAACTCTACATGTATCTGAGTTGTATTATTGACCTTACTTTACTGACTATGACGTTTTTTGGAATACTCTGAAGTTAGAAAGACACATTTCCTCAGATGAAAGGATGGTCTACAGTCTTATTCAAAAATAACAGCACAAAAGTGTGAAGGCAAACGTGTAATTAATTAGGCAAGCACAGCTTCCTTCCTTATTGTCTTGTGAGAGACTCCAGGAGGCCAGCCTGCATACATGATCAGCAAGGCCTTCATCTAGGACAGAAACAGGACATTCTGAGCAGCACCATGGAACATGCTTTCTCACATGGGCCGTCTCAGTGAAGTCAAAAGTATAGATTCCTCAGAATATGAAAATAATTTCAGAGTCTGTTTCCATTTCTTAGACATCAGTTTTGTCTTCTGACTGTGAAGTGTGGTTTAATGCTGATTTGTGGGCTGGTTTCTGAGTGACTTCCTCACACCACTGCGTGACTGCAAAAACTCCTCCCTGGGCCCCTAGAACACTGGTTTTGTTCCTGTGGAGTCAGGCCCAAGCTGCTCTGTGTATGTCAGATTTAATATCACAAGTAAATCCTCTTAGTCACTGAACAACAACTGATGAACGTTCCTAGGAACCTGAAATCCTACAGGAGCCATACATAGCACAAGAGAACTGTAATGCTAGTTTTCCAATAAGAACCAGGGTGGTATTTAAAACACTAAAATCATTTTTTAAAGCGTATGCTTGTACACAGTGTGATCTCTGTGCAAGATGTCTTTCAGCCTCCAGAGTCCCTTGTCCCTGCCCCCCTCAGGGAGACTGCAGAGCCATCCTGCCAGAACAAACAAACATGCTCTTGTAAATGGAGACAACGTCACTGGGAAGCCCCCTTTGGGCAAGCTGGACAGGTAGGTGGAAAGAGGAAAAGCATGGGGAAATGAGATGAGACCACTATACAAAGTAGTATTCCTCCCCAAGTATCAGCTCCATCAAGAAACTGGAACCACATGCCAGAATGTGCAGGGCCACACATCAACTAGTACACTTGTTGGCATACAAAGTTCAGCAGCATGTCTGAATTCTTCCATTGACATCACAACTGTCATGCCTGCCCATTCACTAAATTTGGGCTGATAGTTTTACTACTAAGGGTCAATATACTTTCACATCCTTAAGCTAGCCAGGCATTTTGTGGTGTGTGTGTGTGTGTGTGTGTGTGTGTGTGTGTGTGTGTGTGTGAAAATTAGTGCTTTCATGATGAGTATTTTCAATATCAGAAGGATAATAAGGAGAATATTTTTAGAAATGGGAAATTCATTTTTAAAAAGTGTGCTATGTTTAAACATAGAAAAGTAAAAATAAAAATTGGGCCATCCACTTTTGTTATTCAAATTGATAAAATACAGTAACGTCATCACCAACAGGGACACAGTGGGGATTATACAGAATAATGCTACGTAAGAACCATAAACATGACTAGACTCAGCACAGACTGTTGATGTGGGCTTTATTCCAATTATTATCAGATTCGTGGACTTGAGAGTTTTGAATTTTTTCATAATCCTTACTGAACTGTAATAAATGGACTATTTTCAAAGTTTAGATTTTAGGAAAATATAGCAATAATAGAATGTCCCAGCTGAGTCATCTTGTCTGCCAGATCAAGTTTCTCACCAAGCCTGGAACATATTTTGTATCTTTAAGTTACCAAATAAACCCATGGCTGTCAATTATTAGATCCTAATTACCCTTCCAAACTTTCTGAACAGCTACCAGGAAAGAGAATGACAGACTGACTATTGAGTTAGGAGGAGATTAGACCAATACAAACAAATGACAGTTATTTCATGCTGCTCTCACCATGCAAGGTGACTTCACAGTGAGCGGGAAGAATCAGGTTGCAATAATGAAAACAGAGTGGGAGTCAACCCCAGGGTGACTCTCCTCGGTTTATGGTAATGCACACCTTGTGGGGGACCAAACACCAACTGGAGAAGGTTCCTGGAAACAGTTCCAGCTATTTTCCCATTGAAAATGTTCCAACTTGACTTGACCCATAGTCATCATATTACTTTCATTTATGATGTATTATGAAATCTCTTACCAAAAACCCAATGGGTTCAATATGGCTTGTTACACTCAAATGGGAACATCTATGAAGGAAAGCTTCTTTGTTAAGTGTTCCTTCTTTTGGAATTTTATTTGTAAAAGAAACGATTTTATTTTAGACAAGTAAAGCTTAGTGGAAACTGCACCACGGCGGCTGCACGACACGGGTAATGGGCCCTGGGCTAGGGAGCGAGTGCACAGCACAGGACTTACAAATGCACCATCTAGCTCGACTTGCTGGATAACTGTAATAAAATCTTTTTATTACTTAGCTATAATGCACTTTCCTCTTACTATTTGGTCATATACATTTTCTCTTGCTTGGTAATTCAAATCCTGATTTTTGTTACATTGTTCAAACAAATATATTCCTGGTGACAGTGGACAATGGAGATTGTGTAGTCAGAGGACAGACCTTGAAACCAGAAAGCTGCTGAAGACAGTGAAATCCATGTGTCTTCACTGAAGATGTGACATGTAAGGTCTTCAGTAGCGGCAGACCTGAGTGCACCAATTAATGGCAGCACAGTGAGTGGGACTGGGTATGTTCTGTCTGCGCGCTGATGCCGACTGGCAAGCGTGGAGTCAATCAGCCAGCAGCACTCCTTGGTGCCTTCACTGTGATCTAGCGCCACGACTACTAGGGCAATTATTCATCTTCATTTCTGTGATAAAGCACGCACTGTCCTTTTATTTGATTCCGTGTC